GTCATCACCAACTAATACAATGAGCACTTCCTACCCACTGTCACTTTCAACTTACAAGCGTCTTCCCCAGCAGAAAGTACTGCTCTTGGTCTCCTCGCATGTTGTGTTATTAAAATTAATCAGTTCTATTTTTTAGGTTCTGAAGGTCATCTAGTCTTGATCCTTCTCATATTGAAATTGTCTCACTATTTTGTGTCATCAGCACAATTCATTATTACAGCTCATATTTTTTTACCTACATCACTAATGGAAATTTCTGGATGAATAAAGATCTTCTGATGTTTCAGATGGGTATGCGATAGGTTTTTTGCTTTCATCTCAAATGTGGAAACATTCATTTTCATATCTTCTTTCTCATTACCCCTGCTTTAATTTCCTTTGTAAGGAAACTCAGCTGAGCTTCTCAAAATTCTCACTTTACTCTTACCCTTCTTAGTATTTTTCAAGTAATTTTGTTTCATTCCTTTCAAGATTTTGATTGTTCCCAATAATGTTTCTGAAGTGGCTATTTACCCAGCTGGGACTGAGTTGCTTTTGTTTGAGATATGAATTAGAGGTATATTTTTTTCAGAAAGATTTGACAGATGTAAAGCCTTCTCCACATGCAAGTCCTCAGCCACCTAGATGCATCTGTCATCAACTCCTTCCATTTAATTTCTCAAAGTTTGACCTTTGAAATTAAGAATCTTAGTTATCAACCTACTTTTACTCCAAGTAGTATTTTTCCTAATCATCTTACAAAACCTCTTTCTCTCCAGACTTAAACCCAAACATCTCCAGTATATCTTCATGCTAACAGAAGCTCTTTGCCACATTTCCCCAACACCGACTCAAACAAGTTTTACTTTATCTTTCCTGTCGCTGTTTTGTTTCTTTAATATCACACAGCAAATTCTAATCCTCTGTTAATCCCCTTTGCTTCCATAAGTGTTTTAATAGCTGTGTGATTCTGTCCTAATTTCTAATCTGTCATACCTTCTGTTATCCCTAAAAGGTCTAGTTTTGTTGCCAGGGTTCCAGTGCTATACAAACATCACAGTTGTTTCTTGCTAACATGATATCTCCCTGGAAGAGTTAGCAGTCCTCCTCCCAACTATCTTATAAATACAGTCTAAGCTACACTCTCATCACTATTTCAATCCTTTCTCCTTGCTGATACTTTTTTTGCTATTTGCTTGATTTCCCTCTTCCAGGGCGGATTTGTATCTAAAACAAATATTGGGACATTACATAAATTGTTGGGGTTTTTTAAAGCTGGTAGGTAAATAACCCACATAAGGAGGAGTTTAGGTCATGAAGTCTCCTTTATCTCTTATGCATTTCTAACCAGGCCCTGCATCCCAAAACATAGAGAGTATCTGATATGCCTCTCTAAATGACAGTTTTATTAAGACATGAAAATGAAATGGGGAGCAACAAAAACACCACACTGTGGAAACAATGAATCAGCCAAGGAAGTGGCAAGAATAAGAGAATGGGAAAGCATGTATCAGAACCCCAAAGAAATTTTTGATGACTAATCTTTACTGCCACAAGCCCTTATCTTAAATCTTCATTTCTAACACACCCAATAAGCCATTCCATTTCTCTTATCATAAAATTTCATCTTTGAACAGGTGTAAAACACAGGTCCTTCCTCTTCCAGTCTTCCATCCTTTTTCTGTTCCTTCTCACAATCTCCACTCTCTTTATTCCTTGAACTATTTTGGTTGGGTTCCTTCTTTTCACCCCTCATGGGATTAACTGTCCTTGCCCATACACACATCTTCTTCATCTGCTTCTTTCTTCTCTGTCTTTTCCAGTACAGCAAATGGGTTCCTTGATCATATTTCCACTGCAATAGTAAGCCTCCTCTCTCTTAAATTCACATTCTTTCACATTCTTTCACAGTCACATAGTCTGCCCCACAAGTACATGGAGAAAACGGGTTATATGAAAAGAACATCTCTGCACAATCTTGTTCGTGTCACCACCGAGCACCAGCTCTTCTCTTCCATGAGCTCTATCTACCACAGTGTAGTTTTTGTCAGGATTCAAATACAGGATGAATAACACAGCTTTATATTTGGTCGTGCTCTTCATTCTTTTCCTCTTTCTCAGGCCATCACCACGCTTGCCTCAGTAGCTGTCATCATATTCTCACTGTTGTCAAACAAGAAAAAAAAGAACTCCTCCGTTATTCAGCACTGTTTGTGGTTATTCCTTCCACTTACTAATTCCTTTCTTGGTCTCTTAGATGTAAGCTTAGCAATTAACTGCCTGTGAGTCATGATTAAAGGCAGGAATCTTCCCTTGCACAAGGTCCCTGGAGGCTTAAGTGAAAGTCCTCTTCAGGGTAGCACAACTGAAGGACAGGCTACTTTCCTTGACCCTGATAAGAACAAAACAAACAACATTACTCCACCATCTCCAAGTGCTAACCTTTTGGACAAGCAAGAAACTCACACTACACCTTCTTCCTTCTTTCCTGGCCCCGGGCTCAATTCACAAAACCCTCTGGGCAAGGAAGAAACAATGCAGCTAGCTAAAACAAGGACAGACTATGAAAATGAATTTGGCTATTGTGGTTTACTCTAGACTGAAAATAATTACAAATAGTGCAGCATAGAACAGAGTTGTCCAGAGGAGAACGTATTTTAGCTCCTGCAGATACACTGAGTGAATAAAAAGGTTTTTATGCAATTGTTTCTAGTATTTGCATCACTGATTAGTATTGATGTTATAGGCAGTTTGGTAGTGAGGGATACATGGAACCCAAATTTTTCTGGTACTACAATTAAGGCTTAAATGGAAAAGCTGAAAGTTTTCTCTTCTTTTACTTGTAACAGAATGGACTTCACGTGCAGTAAAAATCAGAAACTTTAAAAGTTTTAGGCTTACGAGTTGCAAATAAGATATCTACTTGGATACTTGTATGGAAAACAAGAAACATACCACTTTGGGTTTACTGCTATGACCCAAAATGCGGTCATTTCTGGACCAGACCCCCAGGCCTGTCTCCAAAATGTTGCATACTCAATGCTATCACTATGAATGTCTTGGCCTGTCTCCAACTTGTTGCATATTCAGTGCTATCACTGTGAATGTCTACACTTCCAGATTAACTTTTGTGCAGTCTTGGAGGAACCTCTTTTCTTTCCAGATCTGATTTTGTGTTCATCCCATCATACACCTCAGCCTTCAACTGTATGCAAGAAGGAGATTGTGCCACTTTTCCTTTGTGACCAAAAAAAAAAAACAAACCCAAAACCCAAAAAGAGAACATAATCATCAAATCAGTACAATGGTCATATGAGATAAGTTGGCGGGTGTGGGATATTTTATTAAACTTTATTTGGAGCAAGACTGATTGGCATATTGAAGAGTCTGCAGCTAGTCTCTTCCAGCCAAAAGACTGTTACACCTGATTTAAGTTTGTGCAGTGCACCAGTGTTCCTTGTTTTCCAGATGATTTGAAATGCCCAGCTTGACATCTTCTCTCACTGCTGGCTGCCTAAGAGAAATCCCAATCCAATCCCAACAGACAGTGCTCTCTTTGCAGTAACACATTTACTTCTCACTTCCTCAATGAACAGTGATACCATGAAGATTGTGTCAACCTATGCAGCCTAGAAGACTGTGAAACATGTATCCATGCCAATTCAGTGTCTGCCAGGTCCACGTTTTCCTCATCAGAATCTATGCCTCAGGCCCATCTCCAGTATTTCCAATACCTGTGACAGATGAAGGAGTCTCCTCGGCATCTTGAGTAGATGCAGGGAAGGTCAATGTCCACCAGTGGCGCTTTCCACTGCTCTGAGAACTTCACCAGAGTGTGAGAGGGTGCTTGGCCAGCACCAGGACCGAGTGGACAACAAAGCCATTGTCCAGAAAAAAGCCCAGAACCTCCAGATCTCAAGTGCTTTATTTGAAGAGCAAAGCCACACTTCCCACTTCCAATTATCATCATGGCTAGGCTTCACGAACGAAGATTTGAGACTTCCAATTATAATAAAAGCAGGATGATCCAGGTAAGAGGAAGTCAACTCATTGGCATTCTTGAGGCTTACACACCCCATTGCTTCCTGCAGAGGAAGAAAGGTGAGGAAACAACATGGCACAAAACTCCAGTGGTGTCAGCCATGGCTGTCTCAGCAGTGGTTGGGGCCACGGGGCGCTCTCACAGGCAAGAGGAAAGACTGGACATGGAACTTACTGCCGTGGTCAAGTTGACCTGGTGGTGTTCAGTCACAGGTTGGACTCGATGATCTCAGAGGTCTTTTCCAACCTAATTAATCCTGTGAAATAACCTGCTCAGGCCCCTGGCGAGAGCTGCACCCTTGCTTACGCAACAGCAGCTGCAAGGGTGGAGGAGCCCCAGGACCACGAGGCCACACATACGCTGTCACCCAGCAACAGGATGAGAGGATATGGCCTCAAGCTGCACCACGTGAGGTTCAGGTTGGATGTTTCTTCACAGAAAGAGTGACTAGACATTGGAATGGGCTGCCCAGGGAGGTGGTACAGTCACTGCCCCTGGAGGTGTGTAACGAAAGACTGGACATGGCAGTGTTCGGTCATAGGCTGGACTTGATGACCTCACGGGTCTTTTCCAGCCAAACTGACTCTGTGATTCCGAGCTCAAGGGGCAGTGGCAAAGGCAGAGTGGCCGGACCCCCCCCGCTCCCCACGGGCCGCCGCCATTTGCCGCCGCTTTGCCGCCAAAACCCGTCGCCGCGCGGGCGGGGGAGGGCCCCGTCACGTGGCCGCGCGGGGGCGCGCGTGGTGTCGCGTCACGTGACGCCGGGAGGCCCCGCCCCCTTCCCGGCCCCAGCCGTTGCGCCGCGGGGGGGGACGGCGGTGCGCGCGCGCGCGCGCCGCGCGCTCCCGCGCCTCTCCATCTCGTCTGCACGTGACCCCCCGTCCCTGGAACGTGGCATTGTGTAATCACGTGACCCGGGAGCGGCGCGGGGGGGCCGGGGGGCAGGGGAGGGCGGGGGGCTGCGTACGCGACGGAGCGGGGTGCGAAGATGGCGGACGAGGAGGCCGAGCGGGAGAGCAGCGGCCCGGGCGGAGACCTCCTGGAGCTTCGGCGCCTGCGGGAGCGGCTGCTGGAGCTGGAGACGGGGCTGCGGGAGAGCCGCGAGCCGGCCGTGCAGGCGGCCACCGAGTACTGCAAGCAGCTCTGCCAGGTCGGGCCGCCTCTTCCCTTCTCCCTTCCCTTCCTCCCGTGCCGTGCCCCCGCCCGCGCCCTGCCCTCCCCCGCGGGGTGTGTGCGGGTTGTGCGAGCCCGGCCTGGCCGGGGCGCGGGGGCCGGGCGGCACCAGCGCCGCCCCCGCCGCGGGGAACCCGCAGCCGGCGGCCCCGGCGCGGCGGTGGCCCGGGGGCAGCCGGGGCTCGGGGCCGGGCCGGGCGATCGCCGCCGCTCGCTGTGGCTGAGGCGGAGCGGCCCCGCGCCCGCTGCCGCTCCGGCCCGTAATCCCCATCCCCCGCCTCGCTCCCCCCGCCCCGGTTCTCGCGGTCTCCAGGCCCCTTTGTTGTGCTCTGCGGCTCGGCTTATCGAAGGGCCCTTTGTTCCTGGCGGTGGCGGACCGGGGCTCCCCCCACCCGTCCCTCGGGCACCCCTCCTCCCCCGAGGGCGAAGGCAGCGAGGCGGCGGGCCGGGCGGCGGGGGCTCCGCCGAGGGGCCGGGCGGGAGCTGCAAGTCCGTCCCGGGTCCCTTAGCGCGGGGCTCCTATTCTTTGCCCTCTCCTCCCACCACCCCTTCCCTATCTCGTACCCCGGAGGGATAGCGGAGTTTCTGCCAGCCTGGGAAAGAGGAGGCGGTGGAGTGGTGGTGGGCTGAACTACGTCGCCCGTGGTGGTGCCAGGTCGGTAGATCTGCGGTGCTGCTCCCCGTTTTCTCGCCCTGTCAAGGCAGCGCGATCCCGCCACGGGAGAGGGCTCCCAAGCCGGCACCGTTGGAAGCACCATTGTGTGTTATTACTCTGCCGTCGGGAAAAGGCCTGCTTCCAGAGGGCTGCTGGAGCAGGGTTTGTTTGCAGGTGTTTCTTCTGAGCTGGTGACCCTGCTGAGTATCCCTTCCTAAACAAACTTTGTGGTGCTGGCTCCACAGTTAAAGCAGACTGCTCCATTTTAGTTGTGTGTGTGTCTAGAGATGGCCCTGATTTCTCTTAGATATCCTTTCTTGGCTGGCGTTAGGTGTGTCCCAGTGTATAAAACAAGTTCTCAAATATTTTAGGCCACAGAAATTCACAGAAACCACTCCTTCTGTAGCTTTACTATGTTTAACACTATGTCTGATGAAAGGGATAATGTTTGTTTACACATTACTGTCGCCCATTCATGGAATGTAGGCACATGGTTAAAAGGTGGAATTGATAAGAGCCAATTCACATGGTTGGTTTGAATTGTGTTTTATTTGTGATTTTGTACCTATTTTCTTGCAGTTGATTCTTGGTAGCCATTGTAGAATGCTAATTTCATGTCTTCCGGATTAAAATGGGCTCTACTTTTTACTAACCAGGAAAATTTACTACTAAATAGTTTAGGCATATTTTTATTTTGTTTTGTATATACAGGAGTTATATTTCAGGTTGGTTTTCTGTGGTCAAAATTTATGATCTTGTACTTGGTTAGAATGTCTGTGTAGATGCACAGAAACAAGATTGGTTTGTGTTGGTTCAGATCAGTGTGTTCTCAGTCTGTTTTATCTGTGTGCCTCCTTTCTTAAATTTGTACACTGGGAGGTGGAAATCCGCCGTTCCTGGCTCCGACTTCTAACTTATGAATGAGCTGTTCCTTGAACTGAAGTAGTTGGGTAGGTGGGAATGAAGACACCATCCTTGACACGTAAAGAGTAGGTTACTGATGTCTAAAGCAGATTCATCACTGAAGTTGTGGTTGTGTGTTCTTGGTGAGTGGCTTCAAGACTTGATAGATGGTTTTAAAGTTTAACAAATATGAATATTCTTATTACTTTAGTGATTGTTGTAAAGCCCAAGTTTATTAGTTTTCTTAACCGTGGACCTTTTAAAAACAAGTCTCACTGAACAAATCAGATGTGTAGAAATTGACTTAGATGTAAATCCGTGCTGGTTTGAAATGAATTACTGTACCTTCCATACCAAGATATATAGGAAGGCCATATCTGTTTTTGGAGGCTGAAAGCTAATATGTAACACTGAGGGTTGAAACATGCCATTCAATGTTGAAAGATCCTACTTTTCAAATTTTAAACCGAGGTCTAAACAGTTGCTTAATGTATTAAAAAGTGTTGTTCTTGGGCAGGCATTTTTTATACTGGTTCAGTGGGCATTTCTTAAAACCTGTTCACCTGTGCTTGTGGTGCCAGAATATCCAGCCTCTCCTACACTTTTAAGCCTTCGTTTGGGTTAACACAAAATAGTGTTCATGATGCAGATAGTAGGCTTAGCTGCTTAGTTTGTACTGCATCACACAGGCTAGAAAATAGAAAAATCATGTAATGTAAAAGCCACCTTGGAAGTCTCTCTTAAATAAGAGATTAAAGGCATCTACCTTGGCTTCCTGAATAAAGTCTTTGAATGTATATTCATGAAGGAATAATTTGGTCAAACGTACAAAACTCAAGAGTTGTTATTATTATATAATATTTATAAAACCCTGTGTAAATATAACTTATATATTAGCTCTAGTAAGGCAGTGCTGAAGAAATATTTTAGTGTTTATCTTGGTGTGATTTCACCTGCCTTTTTTTTTTCTTTTTTTTCTTGGTGCTTAGTTTCTAGGCACGCATTAACTGTAAAAATCTTGCAAAATCTTGTGTCCCTGTTTTATTTTGCCAGGTAGTGACTCTGGAGCCCAGCAAACACAGAGCTTGTTGCCATAAATTAACTTTTAATTTTTTTTTTTAATGAAGTGGGTAACATAATGTTCTAGAAATCAGCGTATTTTCATACTGACGGAAGCTGAGGAATGTGCAGTAGACCATGGAAAGATCCTTAGGTTCAAAGGCAAATAAAGGATTTAAGTATTCTGTGCTCGTTAAGTGAAGTGGGAGTTGTACAGCCAAATCCCTTATCTGGTTTTAAAAAAATCTCAATTTGAACAATTTTATTGTTTATAACCCCATAGTGTAGAATTCCTGTTATAAACACAGGAATTGTGTTTATACAAGACCCCTTTTACCTTGACAGAAAACGTTATACAACTGTTTTCTTCTCTTGTAAGAATAAAGTTTACTTTGATGTATTTTATATGCAGCATTTCATTAGCTACAAATATTTTCATGTGTTGCTGCTGATTGCACTGTGAAATGATACAGTTATTCTTAAATTTAAGGGGATTATAGACTGGACCTTAATCCTGTACCATATCTGTGTGAACTCCATTGGCAGCATGCAACATTATTGTTATTAACTGAAATTCACATCCATATGGATATATGTAAAATGACTTTTTAATTGCAATTCATGCTCTTCTGTTGCAATTTGTTAATTAGCAAATCCCTGACAAATGGTGATGTTGTCACAAGCTATGTGTGCATACCGGGGCAGACAGAACAAGTATCTTCAGCTGTAGTGACTAAAACTTGAAAGTGTGAATTTTGCAGGAATTCAGAATGGTCCAAAGAAAAATTGCTGTCCTTGTCATGGCTGATTATATTATTTTCAAACTTAGCTCTTAAAGGTGGTTTGTTGTGTTCATTCGGTTGGAGAAGATCAAAATGTTTGGGGTTTTTTTTTACCTGAGAGCTAGATGAATGTGATGCTGATGGGTATATGACAATTCCTCACTGTGGACTGTGTTCACTTCCAGTTGGTCATTACCCATTGTACCTCTTTTTTTTATATACCAAATTTCAGGCTGCTAACAGAATTTCTTTTGTCACTAGTTAGTTCTGAAATCTTTGTTACCTCCATCTATTATAACTGTTTTTCTGTGGTTGACATGTTTCATCTTTGAGTCTTCCCTACATTATTATTTTGACTTTTCATCTTTTTCCTGAATCTGATTCTAAGGGTTGTTTTTTTCTCTCCTGCTGTACTTTGTGGTACAAATTCTCCAACACTGTGAGGTGATCGGGTTTATTCTACTAACATGCAAGTTGACAACATATAGTGACCTATATTATAAACATAAGAAAGTATTTGGGCTGTTGTGCAGTGTTTCCTCAATAACCTACCTGTACTTTCGGTTCATCTCTTGGTTATCTTGTAATGTCTGCCTGTTAATGAGAAAAATTGTGTGTTAAAATATGTAGGTAAGTGTGCTTAGCTGTTGGTAGGCACATCAATATCTTCCTAGTGTAGGGAGTTTACTCAATAGAAACTTAGGAGCTTCTTAACACTAGCAGAAAAAGTGTAATGCTGATGGAAAAATGGGGTGTCGTGAAAGTTTTTAGGTATTTCAAAAGAAACCCTAAAACTTCTTTTAAAGAAGCCTTGTTTTTAACTGCTTTGGCTTCATAGACTTTGTTCCTACTGTTTTAAACTGATTTTTAGTGTGTGTTGAGGTTCTAGTGATGTATTAGGACCTTAAGGTCCTACTCTATTTTTTTTTCTGTGTGCTGTCACACTAGAGTAGATCTTGGTAATATTGGGGAATATATACTGTACTAGTCTAAGTTGTCCCTCCTAAAAGCAAACATGCATAGCTCTACATAAAAAAAGCTTATTTCTATTTTTTGTTATTGTTACATACCTATAATCACTCCTTTTTAGAGTACGATCCCTTGCCAAGGGTAATTCCGTATATAAAGACCTCAACAGCCTTTGAAAGGCTTTTTTTACTGTTTCATCAAGTACCTGCAGTTGCCATGTCCTTCTTCCTGATTTGACCATAAGATTAGTAGTCACTGATGGTGAGAAACACCATCAACAAAATGTCAGGTGCCTTTTTAATATAAATGGAACACACTTCCTTTTTTTCTTAATATCTCACCGGATCTCTTCTTCCAGACAATATTCATCAAACTCTTCACGGAGTGTTTAGATAGATGTCCACCTTAGATTTTGTTTGGCTCAACACCTAATAATGATATTTAAATAATATAGTCACAAGCTGCTGGAATGGGATTGTTAGTAAGGTGAAAGTTTTTTGAGCTTTCAGTTCAATGATTTCCTGTCTAACTAAGTCTATCTCTTCTTTTGAGTATGCATGAATTCTATAGCCTTTTTCTGTTGAGTCCAGTGAGCCATATTTTACACTG